GAAGGGGATTTGGCATCTGCCTCTAGGCAAAAGGCCCCGGCGGGGTGTTTCAATGCATTTGGAGGGGTTGTTTTGCAACAGGAGAGCGGCCCAGCTCCAGGCTTCCCCAGAGAGGCAGGCTGCGCCTCCCCGCTGCCCACGCCTGCCCCCCTGCTTTGCAGCCCCCCGCTGTCCATGACCCAGCATCCCGCCACCGGGCAGGACATCGTGACCCTCCTCTCCGCACCACCAGCAGCTCCCAGTCCTGGGAGAGTCACGGCGCTGCTCCCAGACCCACCTTGCCGTTGGTTTTCCTAGCCCAGCTTGCCCTCACCAAAACGGGACGGGGGTTAGATGTGACCCTGCCGCCCCCCGGTCACTCAACACCCCTCCGTGGAGACAGGGCTCGGACCCGGTCAGAGCTCCCTGGCTCTCTCACGGATCTTTCCCCAAGGGACCAGGTCAGGCTTGGTTGCCTCAAAGTCTCCATCTTCCTCCTCCTCCTCAGCGGCTGCAGCTCCGCTGCCCTGCTGCGGGGCCGGCGGCTGGGGAACGTGCTGACGGAGGGAGATTTTGGCTCCGGCACGTCAGTCAGGCTTAGGGGCCCCCCGAGCGGGTGTGGGGCATGGGAAGGGGGGGGCAGGCTGCCGGGCACACCATCACGCCCACATTGCCATCTAGCCTCCCGCTCTGGGATGTGCAGCTCGCTCGCCCTCACCCCTGCCAACGCAGCGGCGCTCGCTACGGACCAAAGTCCGGCCTCTGGTTGCATCTCTCCCGCTTCGGCCGGGGTTTCAGCCGTCTCCCCCTCCTCCCAGCCCCCCAAAGGCACTCGCTGCCTCCCCCAGCGCTGGGGTCCAGCCACCCCGCTGGCGCAGGGCCATGAGACAGGGCTGCCTGTCTCCCAGCCTCCGTCTCCAAGCAGATGGAAGACATCAGCTCCCCGCTGCAGCCCTCCGCGATCATCTGTCTCGCCCGCTTCCTTTCGGGGACACCCCTTCTCACGGCCAGCTAATCCCCACTGCTCCAGACCCCCAGCCCTTACCAGAGAGCCCCGTCACATGTCTTTTCTGGGCAAGCATCTCCCACAAAGGCCATCTCTCCCCACCCGTGCAGGATGCCCTAAAAAAAGACCCCTCTCCCCCAGCTCCCATGGAAGAATGTCCGGGCATCAAGTTCCCACCGTTGCCAGAGGAAAAGGCACCCTCTCGGCAGCTTCATCCAACACAAACCCCGTATCCAAACCTCTGGGAATGGACACTAACCCAGGGACCCAGTCTGAGCTGACCAGGGAGGCACATTTATAACGGGGACAGAAGACCCTGGGAGGACTCTGCCTTGGGTTTCCCCTTCCCTCTGCAGTGGGTGGCAGCTCCCCCAGAGGCTGCACAGGACCTGACCGAATTCCTCCCAAGCACCGTCTCATGCTGGGAAACTTTCCCATTTACCATATAAAATCATGTTAATGGCAGAATAATAAATAGGGAGCAGGGGAGAGAATGACCTTCTGGCCGCATCTCAGGTAGGTGGTGGTTTGGTTTTTCCTCCCTCCTCTGAGGGAACCATCCCACCAGCCTGCAGCCACCCTTCAAGAAAAGGACCTGCAAGAATTGCTGCCCACAGAGGAAACCACATCTGACTTCCCACCAGGACGTACGCACGAGGGAAAAAACTCCCATTCGGGGAGAGCTCAGCCTCAGGCAGATCCCAAAGAAGGATGCCTCAAGCCCAGGAAACCCATCAGCCTCTCCCAGGACACCACTGCCTTGCTGCTCAGGAGGCTCTGGCACGTCTGGAGCAGAGCAGGGGCCCGCCTGGAAGTTGAGAACCAGCAGGTATCGCCCCCTGTGCCGAAACAAAAGAGGACCTGGAATACAGGGCCGGCTCGAAGGAAAAGAGAGGGAGCCCGGAGCGCCTGCAGCAGCTCGGGTCACCGGCAAAGCGCCGTCCATCCCCTCCTGCCGGTGCCGGGCTCTGGGGTAGGCAGGGGCTGACCATCCCGCAGCCGTGCCGGGGCCGAATTCAGAGGAACGGGTGGGAGCGGGCTAAGGGCTCCTCCACCAGCCAGGCCATCTCCCCTCGGAGAGATGCTGCCGCAGGCAGCGCCTGGAATTTGCCAAGCACGGAGCTGTCACCACGAGCCGGGAATTTCTGCCGAGGCCACGTTCCTCGTGGGGGAAAGACGGGTAAAAACCGCAGGAGATGCTCCACGGGATATGCTTAGCTTAGCTGTCTGCCTGTCTGCTGATTAAGCTCCGAGGTTAAGGATTTAGTTCCACCTATCAGTTTACTTAGAAATAAAGCATCGCTTCACATTTTAATCTCAAGCATGCTGCATTGTCTTGCCCGCTTCCTCTCGTGCCCTCTCCCCACGACCTCTCCCCCAGCGAAATGCTGGAGAGTTATTAGCAAATCTTCTGTGAAATGTTTAATATCCAAACAGCAGGGTCTGTGCATCCCATGAGAGACTCATAGCCCTTACGGTCAGGACAAGCAAAACAAGGATTGTTTGCAGGCCCCCAGGTCCCACTGGGAGACGCTTCAAGCCTGGAGTGGTTGCCAAGCAAAAAAACCTCACAGTAACGCAACTTTTTAGAGGAGTTACAAACCAGGCTAGCTGGGACTGAGGTATTCCAGCTTGGGATGGACCCCACTTCCACTGTGCCCACGGCCTTTGCGCAGAAACAAAATACCCCCTGCCAGTGCCATTTGGAAGTCTATTCTCCTGCCCTGTGTTGCTGGAAGCCATCTTCCTCTTCTGTTCTCAAAAGGATTTATGCTGAGGAAGTCTGAGCTCTTTCTGCGTGCAGGAAGGGCATGACAGATAGGTCAATTGGCTTAAGAGTTTGTTTATTAGTGTTTATCAGGGTTGGGGGACTTTCAAATATTGCAGGTTTTCTAAAGCCAGACTGCTAAGTGGCATAAATACTTCCCCTAAATACACATAGGAACGTTTTCTACTTGAAATACTCCAGCCTGCTACTGGGATGAGCTTTGAAAAAGCTAAAAAACCACACTTAAAGCGGGCTGTGAAGATTTATCTGCTGATGGCAGGGCACAACGCTGACTTTCCCACCTGGTCGCTGCGCTCGGGTAGACTCAGCACCCCGCAGCCTGGCCCAAAGCTTCCCCAGCACCAGGATCTGACCTGTGCACCCAGCGCTCCCTTCACCTTGAGCCGAGCCGAGCTAGTCCCAAACCCCGCTCCCGACTCTGCTCCTGAACCCGGGGCAGGACATGGGCTGGTGGAGCGCCGGGCCAGGCTGCTCCCCGCCACCCTCCCGGCTCCCCATGCCCACAGGGCGGTTGCTGGCGCTCAACCTCAAAAGACAAAGAGCCCCAGGAGCATGCCGTGGTGATCCAGGAACAACTGACCAGGGGGAAAAAACGTGGTGAGCAAGGCCCGAGCAGCCAGGCTGTGCCATACCCCTGTGACACGGAGGCAAACCCCCCGGCAGGGAGGAAGGCCAGTCGCGCTCATCGCCGTGACCGGCGTGCGGTTTGCTGAGCACAGAGATGGCCCCCGAGCACAGAAAGTCCCTCCTGGAAGTCAACTGCACTTGGGCTGGCTGGAAAGACCGAGGTCAGTCCGGTGAGAGTCCGCTCCGCCGCTGTGCCAGCGGGCAGACACCTACGGAGCAAGCCGGCCGAGGGCTCCAAGGCAATGCCCGCGGGGTTCGGGAGGGCTCGGAGCAGCAGAGCCGATGGCCACCGGGCCACGGGCAAACAAGGAACACGCTGCCAGCAGCAGCCCAGGCTGCTTTCCCACAGAAGTTGCCAGCACACAGGCTTGGGCCCCTTCCAGTCCGCAAGGAAGTTTTACGAAGCGGGTCAGTGCCATTCCTCAAAGGTTGAGACTGAATTTAAACCCGAAGTATCGTCTCGTCTGCGTTACCCGGAGCCATGGAGCACGAGGGGATCCAGGGCTCACCTTTTTCACGGGCAGTGTGGATTCCACAGCGGGGAGCACGAGGCAGATACATCTGCCAGGAGTTAACTCATTAAATTGGGACTAGCTCAGCACTGCAGTCTTCAGATCTTCAGAGGGCCAACACCGGGCCACTGTAAGGAGGTTTCCCAGCACAATAGGGAGGGGAGGTGGAAGGACAAGGCGCTGCCACTGCCACCAGACCTGTGAGGAATCAGCTCAGGGGCCTCAAGATGGCCGGACTCCCGCTGGCTGCACCCCTTGCACCCTCTTCCCCAGCACTGGCCATCTCTAGGAGTGCTCTGCCCCCATGTCCCTTTACCTCCTACAAGCACCAAGTTTCTCTGCTCAGCTCCGTATCAAGGCAGCTGTTGGGCTCCTGGGTCACCGCTGGCCCTGAAAGCAATACAGTGGCATTTGCCCACCGTTGTGCCCGAGTTTAGGAAGCTGGACAACAGCCAGCCTCACCAACCGACATCACCATGTCCCAAAATTTCTACGGACCTCTCAATCCAAACCCTGCCCTTGCATCACTCAGGGAACAGTTTCCTGAGGCTGGTCAGGAGGAGAGCATAGACAGCACCTCAAATCGACCCCATCCACCTCTCCTTCCTCCTGCCGCTTCCCCGCCGCCGGCACACCCTGTTCAACCACACACCACTGAAGTTCTAGGCCATCACGGTCTCCCAAGTCTGACTCCTCCTAAAGACTTTTCTTAGGCAAAAACGAAGAAACTGATCTTTTGATTGCACGTGCCCAAGGCACCAATAGTTCGTTATATATCTCTGCTACTCTGTCATGTGTGAATCCACGTTGTAGACCCCAGTGTCATCGGGCCAGGGACCGCACTTTGTGTCCTGGGGAACCGGGAAAGACAGAAAGAGCATAAGCAGTACAAAACAAGGATTTTCATGTTCTCATTTTAATGATTAAAGACCAAATTAACATCACCAGAGCAGTAAGGGTGAAGGACCTTCTGCAGATGTTCTGTGAAATACATCAACCTTCTTTTGGAGAAAACCAAGCTATTTCAACACTTAAACCAGTTGCTTGTAGTCAAGGAAGAGACAGACTCTTGATGAACCTCAACTTTTTCACCATCTTCTAGAAAAGGACCAAGGAACAGCTACTGTATGAAAGGATGTACACAGGATGGCCAGAGACCTTTCGAGGCGTTCAGACAAAGTTGCGGGCGATGGCCAACACTTTGGAGAACTGTCCTTCTCTCCGCCGCAGGATATAGGGTATTGGTGTCTTTATTCTAGTCCCTACTGGATTCCCATTGTCTTCTATGAGTACCACATTGTTGGAATCAAATCTAGGTGTCATGGTGGGGCCAGGCATCTTGTGCCCTACAATCAAAGCCTTCTTCTTTTCTCCTTTGATAGCCAGAAGGATCGTGTCTCCTACTTTGCCAACTCCGGTCTTGTTATACACGTGGATGCATTTTGGTGGGCGGTGGTAGGGCGTGTTCCCCAAGGTGCTGTTGTCCACCACTCGCACGCGGGTGAGTTTCTGTATCGCTCGGCACGCTCCAGTGGTGCTACCGAAAGACAGGGAAGAGTGAGAGACAGATCTCCTCAACAATCCCGGGGGAGCACAGGATCTCGTCAGGGGAGCGAGGGCAAACCCAGCACAGGATCTTGTCACGACACAAACCCCGCGGGAAGGCGCCAGCGACAAATACACACCCTGTGGGTGACACGTTCACTGCATTCCCCGTGCTCTTTGGAAGGCAGATGCTACCTTGGGCTTTGCACACTCGTCACTAAATGTCAAGCATAAAACCACTGTTCTACTCTGAAACACGACTAGAAGGTGGCATGAAGAGTGGCTTGCACCTACTGGGCTTTTTAGCAACTGCAGACGATTCCATTCGACTTCCATTTACTTCATGCAAAAAATATGGGCTTGCTTCTTGCTACAAACAGCCTGCAGGGAGGTAAGACTCAAGTCAGGCTCTTTCAATCTTGTACACAGTCCCCAGCAATAAGGACTTCTCTGACCAATCTTCCTTTCAGGGAAGTCTATGAGGTTCTCCCATCCTATTGTGCTCTCAGTGAGACCTCTGAGGTCCTGCTGTGGCTGTGCTAAGCTGCCACCAACTAGAATCTAAGAGATTGCCACCTTCCACATGGGGGAGGAACCCAGAGAGACACAGTCTCTTCTGTATCTGTTTGTGCTGTGGGATCATCAGGAGAAGAAACAACACAAACTGCACGATACTAAGTCGTTAGGTCTGACTCTGAACATGCTTGCAGGAATAAACTGAGAAATAATTCAACCTCCCTTACAGGAATGGCTATTTTATCCAATAAGCTCAAATTCAAGCGACTCGCTGCTTACTCTTCAAGGGACTCCCCCACACAGACCATCAGAAAAGCAGGAGGATCCTTTCTACTGCTAAACCACCGCTTTGCAGCAAGGTACTGGAACCATGCTGGCCAGACAGCCGCAGGAATGGCAAACCCCTGCCCGATGAAGTACTACATCGAACGGATGGCACACGGACTCGACCCGCAGAGCAGCAGCGCATACAGTGAACACAGACCAACGGGGACCACCAGCCCTTCTTGAAGACAAAGCGCCTGCACTTGCAACGCTGCCTAGAAGGAGGGCAAGCCACTCCCCGCGTGCCAGGCTCGGTGTGGACGGGCGTGAGTTGAAGCAGACGTTGTGACATGCCCTAAGGGAAGGCCGGCCGGGTCCGGCTGCGTTAGTCTAACTGCTCCAGAGGTCAAGTGCTGCCTTGCAAGACTTGTCTCCCGCAGCAGAGGCCCACCCCAGCTTTCCCCCGCGAGGAGACACCTCCCAGAAGTCACTCACACCGGCGAGCAGCCACCCTCTTCCCATCCCACCCCCCAGCAGGGCCTGGGGTACCCCACACTCTCCACCCGCCGGCTGTGGCTGCAGGGAAGGCAGAAGGGGGGAGGCTGGAAAGGGACAAGAGGGTTGTCACAGGAAGGAGAAGGGGGAACCTAGGTGGGACCAAGTCCCCAGCGCAGCAGCAAACGGCCGTAGGTGGGATTGCCTGGGTACCACCAGACAAGAGTAAGTGCTGCCATCCTGCAGCAGCACTGCTCACCTCTGCAGGCTTTGCCACCCTCTCCCCGTCAGCACACACATATCCTTTAAATAACTCCTGGGACGTGCTCTCATGCAGCCAATTTACAGAGAAAGCTGGTGAGACTTTGATACCTACTCAAGATATCTCCTGGGACTCCAACACAACCTAGCCCTGAGTACTCTTAACCCCCTCTCTAGACCACAGTCATGGGAATGACTCCCCTCACCCTTTAAACCGAAGCTCTGACCCTTCCAAGACTTGTATGCCAGCGATTCCTGCACGCCTGCACCGAGTGGACTGTGAGATGAGGCTCTACGCATCGTGCGAGGCCTTGTCGAACATGAGGTCCCTAAATCTAAGCTTTAAATGCCTTGAGCCTGGAACAAGGATCTAAAGAAAAATAACAAAGCAGACCCTGTTAAGGTACAAGGAGATAATTTTTCGGCTTACTTTCATTCTAAATAACCGAAATGATAAACTCGGGAATAGTTGTAAACATCTAATTGGCTCTGCATCAGCAGGGGCTGGCTGTTGCTTTTTTGGCACGTGGCTGGGAAACACAGGCACTTTCGACTTCGGCTTGCAGGGCCCTGCATCACCCTCAAAGGCCTAAAAGCCTCCTTACAGGAGTATGAAAATGCAGAGTTCAGACCACACTCAGACTGCCAGGAACCTGCATATGTTGTTGTGTTTGGGCTCACTTTGCAATCCGTGAAGAGACGACTGTTAGGGGTTTTTTTTCATTATTATTATCATTATATTATCCTTTTTGAATTAGAAAGGCTATATCTTATGCTTGACCTACTTAACAGCATCTCTTTCAATCAGGGAACTCTCCCAAGGAAACAAAAGCTAAAGCAAGGTTTGAAAATTACCTGAAGTGTCGCTGGATCACCGCACTGCTCAGACGGGTTAAGGATAAACCCAGTTGCCTCCTCCAGAGAGCCATTTGGATCCCGGTAACCCGCCCTGCAGAAGAAACAAGAGAATTATGAACTCTGGAAAAGGGACAGAATGTGTTTTGCCTCCTTTCCCTCACGTGAATCGCACGCTAGAGCCTCGGCACCTCTTCAGCCACCGCAACCCGCAGCGCGCCACAAAGCGGATCCACAGCCCCTGCCTGAATTCGGGAGACCCCGTAATTCAGGTGCTGGGTGGTCCAAAGCTGGACTCGGTATCGCTGCACTGCAGCTGCCTGCGCACAGAGGTGAGGGCCCTTCTGCACCACGTCACAAGCAGGTTTGAGAATTCCAGATGCCAACTAGTTTAGAGGCTGCAGTGTCCAGGAAGAGCTACCACGGTGACGTGTAAAAGCTGCCAGTGGCCTATAAAACCAACCAAAAAGGCAGAGACACTCTGCAGAGCGCTGCTAGAGGTTCAACAAATAACGTGCCAGACAAGAAACAAGACAAAGCTCTGCTGGTGAGGGCACGCGCCCTCTTAGCTTACCCCAGGTGCTCCGCAGCCTGTGTTCAGAGCCCGGAATCACACCTCTGACCATCTCGCCCGGTTAAGGCTGCCCAGATGAAACAGTTCCTGTAACTTTTCGGCGCTGGCACAACCCAAACTGAATCACCAGGCTGGCTGCAGCAGAGCTGGGCTACGAGGGCAACCTCTGACCGAGTTTACCACCCTCTCCCCTGACTGCATCCACAGCGGTTTCCGAACCTCATCCTGTCAGACTGATGGGGACCGGCTCGCACGCGCCATCGTTTGGGTGGGAAGGGACCTCAGAGACCATCCAGTTCCAACCCCCCCGCCCTGGGCAGGGACACCTCCCACCAGACCAGTTGCTCCCAGCCCCATCCAGCCTGGCCTTGAACATTGCCAGGGAGGGGGCAGCCACAGTTGCTCTGTGCAGC